GTGTGTGTGTGTGTGTGTGTGTGTGAGAGAGAGAGAGAGAGAGAGAGAGAGAGAGAGACAACGCGGCTCGCCGCACCACTCACCGAATGTACAAAATGAAAAATGAATCTTCGGCTAGAGCATGGAAAGATGCGCACACACGCGTGAGACCGCCCTGCTATCGAGCCGCGGCCATTTCGATTTCGACATATTCTCTCCGATCGGCGGCGGTGGTCCTCCGTTGCAGGGCTGCCCCGCAGACCATTCCCGTCCCTCCTCCTTCATCGGAAAAAAGTGTAACAATTCGTAACAAACGGCCGCCTGCACGGATTGCGCCTCCTCCGGCGCGCAGCTCGCCATCCTCCTCCCGCCTTCATAGGATGTTTTTATTATAAAAGAAAAAAGCAACAACCCCGTGCAAGGATGAGGGTCTGATCCAGCGGCCTAGCTCAGGTGGTAAGGCACGAAAGTGGCATTCAGGACTTGGGTTCAATGCCCATTGGCCTCATGTACCTTCCTGGGCATGCTTGGGGCCCCCCACCTAGAGATAGCCCGTTGGTCCCCCCGATTGGCATTAAAAAGCAGTCTCTGCTCATGTTCATAAGGGGAGGGGTAATCGGGGAGGCACAGCGACTGGCCACTCCGATGATGCTCGGTCCCTCTGCTACCGGCTGTCCCCTGGCCAGTGTCCCCCATTCGGGGTGGGGGTTGAAAAGGCCACCCGGTGTCAGATTAGACACAAAGCTTGAATTTACCTGGGCTGGTTAGTCCGGTGATAATACCTCAAGGCCATCGCCCTGATCCCACACTACTTACCCAACAAGAATCCGTAAAAGTACCGAAAAAGCTGGGCCCGCTCCCGTCGTTAAAGAAAACAGGGACCTCACCTTCCCATATCCTTTTTTTTTTTTTTTTTTTTTTTTTTTAATCCACAGTACTCGGCCAGTTGGTTGTCCAGCTGAATCCTTCTGAAGACCCCACCCACCCTTCCTCTTATCATTTTTGCCCTGGCGCAACCCCACCCGCCCTGTCCTACCCTAGTGTTAACCACCCAGGACCATCACCCATTGCCATATTGGCAGGGTGACCTGACCAGACAGCGGTTGCAGGCACCCGGGCTAGGCAGAGAGACCTACCCCTCTGCTCAGCCCTGGTTGAAGCAGACGCCGTGCAAGCCCGATTGCACGGGGACTTCGGGAGCTAGGTATGAGCATGCTACTACAGGTCTTCACGAGGGTGCACAATGTTACGTTGTATCACTACTATTGTGTTTTTGATGGCAGAGAGTTGGGGATCCTCCGTCCCTCGTATATCCCTGGAGCCCGTTCCGGCCCGCGGTAAGGTGTAGTATCTCCTGACACCCCCGGCATCCCGTACTAAGGAACTGTTATGCCAGCCTCAAGCCCTAAGCTACATACTAGGAGGATAGCCAACCCTAAGTCGTGAATCATTGACTGTGTGTATTGACCCTGGAGAATCGTTGATAGTGACGGTAGATAGTTGGGGATCCTCCTTTCCATCGTATATCCCTGGAGCCCGTTCCGGCCCCGCGATAAGGTGCAGTATCTCCTACACCCCCGACATCCCGTACTAAGGAACTGCTATGCCAGCCTCAAGCCCTAAGCTACGTACTAGGAGGATAGCCACCCCTAAGTCATGAATCATGGACTGTATCATGGACCATGTGTATGGACCCTGAAGAATCGTTGATCATGATAGAGAGAGTTGGGGATCCTCTGTTCCCTCGTATATCCTTGGAGCCCGTTCCGGCCCCACGCTAAGGTGCAGTATCTCCTGACACCCGCGACATCCCGTACTAAGGAACTGCTATGCCAGCCTCAACCCTTAAGCTAGGTACTAGGAGGATAACCAACCCTAAGTCGTAGATCCTATATTGTATCTATTGACCCTGAAGAACCCTATGTTGTATGATAAACTGTGAGAGCTAGACAATCCTCTGTTCCCTCGTATGTCCCTGGAGCCCGTTCCGGCCTCGCGGTAAAGTTCTGTATACACCCTCGACATCCCGTACTAAGGAACTGCTATGCCAGCCTCAATCCTTGACTACGTACTAGGAGGATGACCAGCCCTAAGTCATAATTCGGTATCGAATACAGGACCTCATGTGAATTGTGCAAATGGCCTAACCTGTTGACATATATTGTGAAGTAGTCCGAAGTTGTGCTCTGCCGGGCTCGAGTAAACCAGACTATACAAACCACCCAACAGCGACCACCGATAGACCAAGAACATCAGGATACCCTACCATCGCCCAGTCCCAACATACAACAACTGTGAGCTACCCCTTGGGTGGTGCACAAGTAGTGTCTGTAATAGCTAACTTGCGCCATCCTTAGGGGAGGGGGGTCCAGCCGTGCATCAATCTAACGCCTTGTCGGTGTCCATGCGCAAGGCTGCGGATTTGAACCCGCAACCTCATACCACAATGCGCATTTCCAACCGGTGCTCTAACCACTGAGCTACATCCGTAGGTTTTACGTGGGCATCGACGTTTTTGGTTGGGCGGGCTCTTTTACGGACACGAAAATGGTCCACTTGAACGAACATTGCCGCCCCCCCGCCCTGTCGTACACTTGCCATTTGTGTGGCCAGCCCAACGAAACAGACACAACAAAATTAAAAATAAAATAAAATAAAATAAATCCTTATTTTTCGCTGCAGTGTACGGGCTCGGTTCTCTTCCAAATTCCCTCAAGCTTTTTCGGCGACGATTATTCCCTGCCCGTCACGACTTTAAACGTTTCTACTTACCTCTGAATCTTGTGCAGTGGCCTTCGTTTGTGGAATCATGTGGGATCCGGCAAAACACCACTTTGTACTTACCGTAAGTAGTGTGGGATCAGACTCTGACATAGGGCGTCGTTAGACACTCCTCGGAGACGCGATTCCAAGGATTTTGTAGTCGTTCCACTTGTCCTCGGAGCCCATTTTCGAAAAGAAAATGTGAAAACACTCCTCGAGCTCCGAGGATTTCCCAGGCAAATCGTCCTCGGCTCCAAGGGACCTCGCGAGGTCCTTTGGAGCCCGAGTATCCGTGATTCAGGGGGTGTCGGCATATACCACAGGGCCTCATGTGAATCGTGCAAATGACCTAACCTATTGACCTATACTGTGAAATAGTCGGTAACTATGCTCTGCTGGGCTCGAGTAAACCAGACCATACAAATCACCCAGCAGTCTCGTGACCACCCCATAGGCCAAGAACATCAGGACAACTCACCATCGCCCAGTCCCAGCATACGACAACCATGGGCTACCCCTTGGGTGGTGCGCAGGCAGTGTCTGTAATAGCTTGCCCGCATCATTCCAAGGGGGTGTATGTCCAGCCCTGCGTCATTCTTTTTTTCCCTTTTTTTTTTTCCCGAGAAACGACCTGAGTCAATGTTAGGGTTGCTGGTAGGAGCAGGCACCGCTAGCACTCCCGGGGGGCTCCATCTATTGGTCGGGAGCATCACCTGCTGGAAAACGGGTCCAGTGTCCCTATACATATGATGAGAAGTAGGCATGCTATGTGTATGTTCGATCTGCTTTGTACAGACTGGGCTATGGTATGTCCTGAGTTCCATCCGTGTATCTTACAGCCTTGAGTAGGCATTCTATGCAAGTGCAAGTTTGTGTGCAATGAGTTGTTTCTATTGTCCATTGTGTATATTACAGCCTTGAGCAGGCATGGTTGCTGTGGGTTGTGAGTTGTGAGTTGCAGTAGATGTAAGGTCTTTATGCCTGTGTGTGTCTGTCAGTGCATGCTAATGTATAAAGGTGGAAGTGTATAAACTGTGATTTCCTTGTGAGAGGCCCTGCCTGTGAGGTCTCTACTGTCTATCATGCATGTTACAACCTTGGACAGGCATGCTGCGTGCGTTTGTTTGCATGATGGAGTTGCTGTGTGTTGTGAGGTGTGAGTTGCAGTGAATATAAGCTCTGTGTTCGTGCATGGGGATGTGCGGTTGGAGATTTGACCAATGAAGATTGAAGGGACCTATCCTTCCTTTCTCCCTGTGTTTCCTGAGATCTCTGCTAGGTCCCCACGCCTGCTGAACCCCACGTGCCTGGGACTTTTGTGACTGAGAAAAATAATCCACCCACACTTTTTCCGTGCATTATCTTGACCGTGGTGCCCTCAAACCCTTTGAACCCAAACCCTGCACCCCGAACCCTGAAACCCTGCATCCTCTAAGTCCTTAACCCTGTCTCCCCTTCGCCGGACATTTGATTGGCTCATCGTGTTTGTCCCGGTCCCCGTCGTGATGTGAGGGGTTGCTCCTCCGTCGTGATGTGAGGGGGTGCTCCTCTCAGCCGTGCGTCATTCTTACGCCCTGGCTGTGTCCATGCGCAATTTGCGGTACAAACCCGGGTCCACCTCAGTCCTGGGCATGCAAATAATTTACACCGGCAGTTTTCCAGGGTATAGGTGCAAGCTGGGCACTGGGACTGGGTATAGCGGCTTTTCCCGTCTTTAAGTGGGGTACAGATGCCATTTTCACCTCTCTTTTTCTCTTTTTTTCACCTCTTTCTGGTCTTGATCTTTGGAATGACCGCCTTGGTTCTGAACTACCGCCGGTCTGATTCGAACTCGTCTGAATCTCTCTCTTTTTTTTTTTTTTTCCCCCTCCCCCCCCCCTCAACTGAGCTACCGGTAGGCCCGCAGGTCCGTTGGTGGGGAAGGCTTGCCCCGGCAAACAAAACGATGAAACTGCAATGAACACAGCGGAGGGCATAGCTGATTGATTGCTCGAAGACGGCCTAAGATGGTGGACGTAGAGACGCCATAGCTGATTGCTAGACGGCCTAAGATGGCTACCGCAGCTGCAGCCTTGCTCTGCCAGGTGGCAGCTGCTCACTGTATCGCCTCGACGTCGGCTATCAGTTCGGTGCGTGTCCAGGTGCATTACGAAACGCAGACATCAGGGACCATGCTAATTACCATGCTAATTAATCTTGTCTGCATCGATGGCAAATGTAACCGATGTCTGTCTGGACGACTCCGCTGTCTTTTCCGCTCGCCTCATTTCTCCCAAATCCCCCCCCTGTCCCCTCGTCCCTCCTTCCGCCCTCCGCTTTCCCGCCCCCACCTCAGGCCCCCGACCTCACTCCTGGCTTCGCCCCCTTCCCGTCCTCAGTCTTCCCCTTCCCCCCCCTCCCCCTCCCACTTCCTCCCCCCCTTCCTGCCCCCCCTTCCCTTCTCGCTCTTCCCGCTCTTTTACTGTTAATTGTCTGCTATGGAAAGCGCTTGCTGGGCCGCGTTCAACGTCATATCAACGTGGCATTCACTGAATGCGCCGTCGGCACAGCTGATCTGTCCTTTCCCTGTTTGCCACTGTAGTTGGCCCACCCTCTCTCTCTCTCTCTCTCTCTCTCTCTCTCTCTCTCTCTCTCTCTCTCTCTCTCTCTCTCTCTCTCTCTCTCTTACTCCTCT